ATATTATGTTCTTCTTGAGTGTTCCTTCTTATACTGAATAGAGATTTACAGTATGTTACTTTGTTTCCTCTAGGAGCTATACAGAATTAGTTTTACTTCTAATCTGTGACTGCCTTTTGAGTACTGGAAGACAATGATAATTTGGGGAAGCTATTTTTTCAAATGCCAACTATCATATTTCTTCCCACCAGATGGTTCTTATAATGACTTCTTAGGAAAAAAAAAAAAAAAAGCAATGGTAACTTCCATTAGGAAAACTTAAACAAGTCTCTGTGTAGGGTTGTTTAGTCCAGCAAATATTTACCAAGTGCTTACAATGTGCTAGAAACTGTGCTAGCAGCTAGACTTTAAACTAATTAAGAGATAGAGTGCTTTTCCCTAGAAGTTAATAGTCTCCTGAAGAATAGATATATACTAATTAATGATTGCACTACACAGCAATTTATGTTATATATAAATTGCTATGTGAGTAGAAATGAAAAATCACACAGAAGGCATCTGTGCTGGGTTTTCCACAGGTGGCAATTTTTAAAAACTCAATCTTGAGAATATTCATTCATTCATTTAGCAAATATTTGCTAAAGACCTACTATGTGTTAGGCATTATACTAATTGCTGGGAATAAAAAGATGAATAAATGGGGTAGAGTCCCTGCCCTCATGTACGTTAGGATCTAATTCATGATTATTTCAGTTCAATTATTTCAGCATATTCTTTTTTTTTTTTTTCCCNACCGGTAAGGGGATCGCAACCCTCGGCACAGTGTGGTCTGCACCATGCTCAGCCAGTGAGCACACCGACCATCCCTATATAGGATCTGAACCCGCAGCCTTGGTGCTACCAGCGCCGCACTCTCCCAACTGCGCCGCGGGGCTGGCCCTATTTCAGCACATTCTAAGACCAACTTTACTACCTGATACATGGATGAATAACAATTTCTTTGTGTTACAGGATCCTTGGCTTTTTAAATCGGATATCTTGTACTGCACTCATCCTATCTAAAATACTAGAAACAAAGAAACAAAATAAAAATTTAAAAAAAAAAAAAGTTTTGCTTCACCCCACTCCCCTGCTTCCCATGCCACAAAGCTAAGCATGTTGTATGAGTAATATTTAGGATTTCAAACATTTAAGACCAATGGGCAATGTCTGGAGAGATGCCAGAGACTGAAAAGCTGTATTAGAGAGGGTGGAAGTAGGAAATTCAATTAAAGTTGGATCAGGAGAGGAAGATGAGGTCAAAAGGGTGGGTAAACCTGAAAGGCAGTGCTACTGACAGCAAGCCACTGTAAGTGAGGCAAGGGCATTTTACCCACCCCTTACACCAGCTACCAGCAATGTTATACACAGTGGTCAGGTACTGAAGCTTTTCCTGTGTCACAAAAGCTTACAGAATGCAAGGCTAAATAGGAAAAATCCTTCTTCTTGGTTACTACTTTTAAAAGGTATTTCTAGGAATAATAAATACTAAATTAAATGGGAAGGTTATAACATTTATAATCTGAACCCTTTATGAGAGTAATTCAACTTGGGGAAGGGGATGAACCCATGATAATATTTCTTTTTCTTCTGCATCCCACTACACTACCTAAAGCCTACCTGGAAAGCACAGAATCATTTAATGTGTGCAAAAGCTGTTATTGTATGAAGTGGATGAAATTGCTAATGCTGCATTCCAGCCAAAATAAAACAATGTCAGATGTGGCCATCAGTTATTTGAGGGCAACACCA